TGAAACAATGGATGTGCCCCTAGGTGTAGAGTGGCTAGGACACAACAAACCATACTTGGCAAGTCAACTCCATCCAAAACCCATGCCACTGGGAACCGACATCCAAACATGGGCAGGATGAGGATCATACCATCCTCACCTCATGTTTAAGAGACCACTATGCTTCCTGAGCATGACACATGTTAGCTTCAATCTATCAATCTGGGGACTCGACATCTGGTATTGAAAGGATGTCTACATAATATAAATCAACTCCCTCAACAGCGAAACTAACTGGAACCATCCAAAAAGCAATAACATCCTCGGAATAAGATACAATGAGGGATACCAAAAAGGACAGAACTGTAACAATCCCCTTCACCTCCACAATGATCCACAACACGGAAGGAATATGATTGAGGGAGGAATATAGACAATCATAAACATGTGCGAAGGCTTATGTTGGTTGGTTCTACTCTAAATCTAAAACCCAGCCACGGAGTACTTACATCCAATCGAAGGGGTTAACTGCAATTTGACATCTCATTCATTTGTGAGTGTACATTGCATATTGGAGGATAGCACGTCATCTACACCCACAGAAAACCACTGCCCTACTCTGCACTGAATGGTTATAGCCATCTTTGTGTGGAACCCATTCAGGAGGGTGCCTCCATGGTCAACCTCCCCAGTGGCTTGGAACTGGAAAGTGGTAAAGACTCCCATACTCCACTAGAAGAAAGGGGGTGAGAACACAGTGGAGAGTCTGGAGGAAATCATCACCTGAGGCAGTGCAATGGGCGACCACAAACTCCTGTTTTGAAAAGCAGACCATATCAATTTATTCAATACAAAGCATGGCAGGGATGGACAGCTATCCCCTTCTGCTTTATCCATGCAGTCCATGGTTGGTACAGTCTGAAATGGGCAAGTTTATGAAGCAATTTCATCACGAGGTTATTCACCTACAAGCATCTTGTGGAACATCCCATCTCAACAGTGAGCATTGAAAAGCCATGGAAGTTAAAGTGCGAGTCAACATAGCTGTACAGAGAGTGTTCCATATAATAAGTAAATGAAGAGCCCCTGAAAGGAAAAGTATGAATATAAACATACCCGGTCAAAGTCACACTGAAGCCCGAAGAATGGCCACAGGTGGAAGACGAAAACCCGATGAAGAAGAAATTGCAATATGGTGTAAATAATAGGAGATGAACATATTAGGTGTATTCCACATACCCGACTGTACGATTTTCTCCAATGGCCGATAAAGACAAGATTTGAGGGTAAATATAAGGTATCGAATCTGATAAAAAGACATCTGGAACAAATTCAGGGAGGAATAAGCCGACCAATTCAAAAGTTGAACCCCATTAGTGAGGGTAGAAGGGAAAAGATACAGAACAGAGGAAGACTGCCAAGGGATAAAGAGTCAGGAAAGGGTACCACGGAAGGAAGCCGTGCAAGAAACTAAATAGGGATGGGAAGATTGGTCATGTGTAAGGAAGGATGCAGTTCATAGGAAATAGGGGAAAGGGATAAAACATCACATACCTGAGAAGCAAAATCCAAAACGACCATATCAGGCCTAACTGACTACTCAGACAGATCATAGGAAGGCATGGCAAAATCAGGAGGTGGAAATAGGTGATCCAAGTCCTTATCTGCCTGAACAGGCTCAGCTTGTTCAGGAGGAAATGGAGTGAGGTCTGGAGGCAGAGGTTGACCCTTGTAATGTTCAATCTCCAGGCGAATAAATGCAGATAAGTCCCCCGCCAAGTCACCTACATCTGAGGCCTGAGACATAGTGCTAGTTGCAGGTTTGACACCTGAAGTGGTAACACAAACTTCAGAATTCATAATGAGGAAGAGTCAATCAATAATCGAAAGTAGCTGTAACAATGCAGCTGTAATAAACTGGGATTAAAGTGAAGTTGCGAAACAGTCTTAATAGAAACTAGAAGTGAAAATAAGTATGAGTATACTAAAGATGAATGTGAAACTTTAAACAAACAAAAAGGAACACATCTGAGCACAAGCGTTGCCAAGTGAGAAGTGATAGTTCGGTAAAGGCGTATAGAGGGAGTCACATGCATCACATTAGTATGTCACACTCCTATTGGTGGAGAAGTGACGCATATGATTTACATGAGAGACACAATAGAATCATTCAATTCCAATAGGGTGAAGCAGAAGGCTTGTGGCATGCATAAAGAAAAAAATTGCATATAGAGGGCAGCTCCAGACGAGAATAGCTAATCTTGTGAGTGGAGGGAAGTTCCATAATGGAATTCAATTTATGTTTATTATAACTACAATTGATTATTGATTTCAATATTTTTATGTATACTGTAATTCTCATAACCATATTTTTATATAAGCATGGATGAGTGAATATTATACAAAAATACTTCCTCTAACTTAGACAAAACTCATCTAACTTGGAGAGGAGAGATACAGATAACTAGTACAAATTTAGTGAATGTTTACCAAAAATTCAATAATTTTGGTTTCTTCAAGCATTTATGTTTCTAAATTATTTGTTTCACTTCAAACTAAATTCTAGGTTATTAACTGTGTTAATTCTACATGAATAACTAAAAACAACAAAGAATTTCTAAAGATTTTCTAACTGATTATGTTATTGTGATAAAATAAAGATGTTAGCATAGTAACAGTTAACAAATGCTTTTTTTGCAATGATATCCTGTTATAGGGTTAAAATACAGAAATTATAGTAATAATCAACTAATTATTTTTTTCAATAATGCACCTTTTTTTATTTTCTGTGGTTTTCTTTCCATTTCATAAATTGATACAATAAAAATACAAGTGCAATGACTTGGTTTAAAATCCTTCAGAATTTAAAAGCATTTATAGTTTAAAATAATTTATAATTCAAAAGTCTTCAGAATTTAAAGACATTCGTAGTTTAAAATCATTCCTAGCTTAAAAGCATTCATGGCTGAACAGTTCAGTATCTTACCTTGGGGTGGAAGTAAGAGATGGAACGTGACACCGTAGGTGGAATACACGTGGACATGCACCACAACAAAGTAGTTCTCCACCATCATGGCATACTGCACACCAATCTTCAAATGACTCATCACTACTACTCTCTGCATTGTCATCACCAATGGTAACACATTTGTTGATAGGTCCATTTGATGTTTGTTTTTGTTGGTCTTTAGTTTCACAATGAGAAATTTCTAGATGGTTAAAAAGGCTTTTCTTGTTTGGTGCAAAGCTAACATCATGTGTTTCTTGTAGAATTCTGCATCTCACGTCTCTTGATGCTGGCAAACTTTCTTGGCTACTGCTATTTAATAAACTTCTGACATAAATATCACAAGATTTGCTTCTAGTTAATGAAGCTGAAGATACAGGCAAGATTTCCTGGCTACTGAAGGTTTGTAAACTTTCAAAAGAGAGGTCACAAGATTTGCTCCTTGCCAATAAAGTTTGAGGTACATATAAAGCTCCTTCGTTTCTATTGTCTTGTACACTTTCAACAGATCCATCACAAAATCTGCTCTTATCCAATAAAATAGGTAAATTTCTCAAACTATCTGTTTTTGCAACTGAATTATCTATATGTTCCATTTCTTCATGACTATTTACTTCCAAGTTTTTCAATTCATTTGTCTTTTCTGTGATGGACTTCAGAGTTTCCACTTCACTAGGGAGATGTACAGAGCCATCACTTCCTGTAATTGATATGATTATAGGGCAAGCCTCTGATGTTGAAGAAATGGGACTGTGATTGTTACATTCTTGGATTTCTGGATTCAAACTTTCAGTGTCGAAAACCTAACAAATGTATAAAAATATTAACTACAATCTGATGCTTCAGAAAAATCCACTCAATTTAGAACTGTATGGATCAGTATATTGATTATGTAAATATTTTCTTAAACTAACAGAATAGGTATTCACAATAAAACAGTGAATACAGAAAGCCTGATGCCAAAGACAACTACATTAAATCACTCGAGAAATACCTTTTTTTTAGAAGAAATACTTATTAATAAGTGAAATGTGAAATCAATGGAAGATTAACAAAACTGATCATCAGTGTTGCCTCCATGATATTCTACAAGTATTATAAACAAATTTTTTGTTAGATTATAAAACCACATTTCTTCATTACATTAAGTTTTGTACACAAAAAAAAACTGTTATTACCACTGGGAAACATTTTGTTTACCTCTTAACCTGGTTGAAGTACACCAGCAATGTACTTTTGATAACAAATTTTTGTGTTTTTATTCTAATCTACTTTTAATACTGTTTAATAAATACAATTGAAGTGAGACAATTTTGTAGCCTCGTTCATCTCAAAGTTTATTATAAAGAAATTTAAAAAATAATAATTAGAATAAAATTACAATTAGTGGCTTTCAAAGAATTTTTTAAAATCTCATGACTTGTAACTTAGCCTAGAACTTAAAATTACTTTCGAAGTAGTTAAAATTCAAAGGAGATATTGCTAATAATAAAGAAGCTTTGAACATTTGAGAACACACTTATTCCATCTTTGGAAAAATCTGAAAATAATGGCATACAAATGTCTTTAGACCTAAAAGTTAACATTTTCCTGAACTGAAAATGTACTTCCAATAGATACTTACCTCCTCTTATAAAAAAGCTTTCTCGACTTGTACTGCTTTCTATCAGCATCTAAGCTTCATTACTCCCACTTCATGCAAATAATCATGCAGAAACCCTCCACCAATAACTAGCACCTTCTCTAATCATGCACATGTTAATGTCTTTGAGATTGTTCAAAACTAACCAATCCAAATCACACCGCAAGTTGGGCGGATGGTGGGAAATGTTAGAGAAGGTAAGTATCTATTGGAAATACATTTTCAGTTTAGGAAAATATTAAGCTCCAATACAATATATTACCATATCCAATGAAAATCTAAGATACTACATTGAAATGGTGGAGGGCCAGTGAGAAAATGAACTCCCTTTAGGAAGCACCTAAAGGAAGACCATTGTGTGTGATAAGTGAAGTATTTGTGTTCCACAAATACTAAGTATATACATATTTAACGGTTTTCAAGAAGTACATTTTATTTTTTTAATGTATATCACATACAGTATGGAGAAAGCAGTAAACTGAAAATGTTATAAAAAACATAGAAAATCCAAGATCGAATTAATCTTAGTGAAGAGACAAGAGGCAGATGGAAGGAAGGAGGTGAGCCTAGATGGGTGTTCATTTCCAGTGCAAAACCTGGTGGCATTGGGAATTTTGTCATCCAGTCTGTGGTAAGAAGAGAATACCCAGCCATACACAAATGAGAAGTTGTGTCTTGTCCAGCTACAACCAACACCAGATCCAGTGGGAACCAAGATCCAGCAGACAGTAGGAAGAGGAACCACAAGTTTGGAGTTGCATCTCCAATCCAAAACCTGACAGCATTGGGAATTTTACATCCCATCCGCAGTATAAGGAAGGTATCAGCCAAATACATGTGAGGACTTATGGGGCCGGACCATCTCCGACAAACATCTGATCCCGAGGAACTGACATATGGAAGATGATAGGAAGAAGGTTTTTTCTTGTTATATTTTATTTTATACATCTCAGCTGGAGGGGGCAAACTGCACTATATATATGGGTGAGTACTACATCCAATACCTGGCAGCATCTAGAATTATACATCAGGTCCGTGGTAGGAAGGGCATCATGCCATTGACACCCACAGAATACCATTGCCCTACTCTCAACTGAGTGGTATGGTGCACACTCAGGAGGACAGACCTCCAGGATCCACCACCCCAGTGATTATGAATTGGTAAGTGGCCAGGACTCGCATGTTCCACTAAAAGAAGGTGGAAACTAATACGATGGAGAGTACAAAGAATTGTAGCACTGAAGACAGTGCAACAGGTAATCATGATGCCCAATACTGAAAAGCAGAGTGATCATGTTGATGGAGTGAATCATCCAACACTTGGCAGTGTCTGGAATTGTACATCAGGCCCACAGTAGGACAACGTCAAACACCATGGATCATCAGAGATGGGCAGTGATCCCTCTCTGCTTTACTCCTGTTAGTCCACGAGTTTATGGTCTAGGACAAAAAATATTTATGATACAAAAGACCATGAGGTACACCTACAAGCAGTCCAACAGAACACCCCATCTCAAAAGTGGGTGTAAAATGACCTTGTGACTTGGGAATTAGTATCTTTGTATACATGTTTTATCGATGCATAGAGGACATAGTGAATAGAGTCAATCAACAAACATCTGGCAGCATCTCAAATGGTATATCAGATCCACAGTAAAAAGAGTCTCAACATCACATCCATCTAGCATGTTCACAGATCATACAGTGAGGATTTAAGACAAAGTATGCCTGGTCAGGCCACACTCACTACAGAGTGGGATCCAAATATGCAATAAAGTCCCCTGCAAAGAAAAGAAACTGAATGGAGTACTTACCACCACACATGACAGTTACAGCGCTGATGATGTCTCACCAAGGGAAGATGGAAATGTGCAGTTACAAACATAGTAAGGTGACAGATCTGATGGTAAGAAAACATGAAAAAGGTGACAATTATCAGGAGAAAGGGAAGAAAATGCTAGGCAAATGAACTGGCAAATCCAACCCAGAGGGATGATTGGAAAAGGTCAGAGGAGAGGTGAGGATTTCACAGAAAAGACAAATGGATTCAAGAACCATAGAAGAATGCAGTACATGTCATATACCTTCAGAGAGCCCAAACCAGATAAAGTAGGTGGTGGGTCATAGAAAATGGGAGATAAGTACAGAACATAACATACCTGAATAACAAATCCATCAAAATGGAATGAGGTCTGGGCAAATCCCCCAAAACAACAAATTCAGGAGGGAAGGGGGAAAGACTCTCCAAATCCAAAACTAAAAGATCACTGAAAACCTTGTTAGAACAATCATCAGTGTGTTCTGATTTTTGCATGAAATTGGTCAACTCCCAATGGACCAGAGTTGTCACTGCATAGGCCAAAAATCATGGTTTTGGAAAATAATGATTTAAAGTAATTACAGAACTTCTGTGTATGTGATATCATTTATCAAACATAACCATAACATACAAAATTCCCAATGGAAAGTTGTCTATAATGTAGAACTAGTTTTATGTGTGGTTTCCAAATAAATAAAAAACATTGTTACCTTTAAAGGACAAATTTCAATGGCTAAGTTTCACGAATTAATTGTGTTGTGCTAAAACTCACAAACAAACTGTAAAAAATTAAAATAATTCAGAAATCTACAGTTTAAGATGTACCTTTTTTTGAAAGAAACTAGGTCTTATGTTGTCTTGCAAAATACCAGCATCAGATACCTTCCTTTGTGATTGATCAGCAAATTCACTCTGAAATACACATAAATGTTCAAATAATGCAAAATTGTGAAAAATTGTTCTATATTGATGTGTCCAAGATGTAAATTGTAAAGTTACTTTTTTTTTAGTTATGTCTAATGCAATATGTCCAACTTTAATGAAAAATAACTAATTTACAGGCAACCAAAAAAAACAATAAAATTATAACAAATTGAATAATTCTTATGAAAAAAAAGAGGTTGGACAGAAGCTTGGATGTTATTACTGAAATTTCCTTCTGCTTTTCATAAATTAATGTTAAACACGAGATTAGATAGAAGTTTCGATGTGTATTTCACAACCTTTTACAAAGTTACATTCAAGATTTAATTAAACTACTTTATTATACATGTACATGGATAAACTTGGCATCAAAAAGTAGTTAATAAATCAAATTTTAATATTATATAAATTTTATGTTCTTAATTTTATAAGAAAATGTTTTTTTTTTAAATCCTCAATCTCCCATAGTATGAGAATTGTGACATTTGTTACCTAGGTCTTCCCCCTTCTCTAAATATATTTACCACCCCTGTCTGAAACATGGAACTTAATGTAAAGTTAATATTTTCCTATACTGAAAATATACTTTCAAGAAGTACTTACCTCACATCCATAGCTATTCTCATTCAGGGCTGCCCTCTATATGCAAAAATTGTTTCACATGCCACAAGCCTTGAACTCCCATGTACCTCACAATTAACATGGTTCAATTGAGTCTCGCATGTAAATCATCATGTGACAACTCTCCACCAATAGGAGTGTGACACACCCTCCTGACGCACGTGACTCCCTCTATTCGATTCTACCAAACTATCACTTCAAGAGCGATAACATTGTGAGAGAGATAAGCACCTATCAGAAATATATTTTCAGTATAGGAAAATAATATATTCTAATACGGTACATTTCCTCCGCTCACATGTATAGCTAGACTCCCACAATAAGTTGGCAGAAGGATCAGTGTGAGTTATATAAATAAGTATCCAGAGAACACCCATGAAGTGTGATCCCCATTGGGAGAAGAACACACATGAGAGACAACTCCACTTCTTTACTAGGTATACTCTGCACCCAGTGCAGTGTGGAAATAGGCATTGCATACTTGAGTGAAAAGTGGGAGGTGCATGAACAAAATAAAGAGAACAACTAGGTGGGTGTCGAATCTGAACCACAATATACTGGAATCTCAATCCCAGTTAAAAAAGACTGTAGAAGAACCATCTATAGACAGGAATGTGGAGAAAGTTAAAACAGATGTGCTCCAAGGTATAGAGTGGTTAGGGCATGATGAACTGTATGCAGCCAGTTAACTCCAGTCCAAAACCAAGCAGCATCACGATTACAACTTCCAACCTGTGGTAGGAAGAGGGTCCACACCACATCTTAACCTCAAGTTGAGTAGAAAGAAATGATATATACTTGTCAAACTGACCCAACTAAATGGGGCACATGCAAAAATCCACAACCATCCATACAGCTGGGAAACCAAGATCCAAATGACAGTATGAAAAGAATGTTCCAATGTGGCAGTTCATCTCACACAAAATCCAATCCAATTGGAACCCCTCAGCTGAACAGCAGCCTCAGAAAGGGGAAACTCTGGAGTGGAGTACTAGAGGGAGAACTTTCGCTCCAAACAACACCAACCTCTGTCTAGGAGTGCACGGAGGTGGAGAATAGGAGGCAAAACTACAAACTTGGAGGTAGGATGAGGAATCACAACCAACACATGTGAGAATTTATGTTGATTGGTTCAGCTCTAATGGATCGCTTCTGTAAGACATATGTAACCTCACCCTACAGATATAAGCTCACAAAAGCTCAGCACAGAATCGACCTCGAGACCCACCACATGGAGGTGGAGTGTATGCATTTGAAAATATGTACAACATCATCCCCCCAGATAGGATCACACATAAGTTGGAGTGTAATGCTAACTTCCAGGTTCCATTGCATGGAAGTGAATCACCTCTTCAAAATCTATGCAATCTCACTTTCCAGATAGAACAACACAGAAGCTAGGCACACCATCAACCTCCAAAACCTACTGCATGAAGGTGCAGTGCATGATTGGAGGATTACACACCATCTGCACCAGCAGAATACCACTACTCTGCTCTCTACTGAATGGAAATGATCACATTCAGAAGGACACCTCCATGGTCCACCACCCGAGTGGCTCGGAACTGGAAAGTGGCAAGGACTCCCATATTCCACTAAAAAAACAAGGGGAGATAAAATGCAATGGAGAGTCCTGAGGAATGCCAACACCAGAAACAGTCCAAGGGGTTACCATATATTGAAAAGCAAACCACCCCTGATTTATTCAATAAAAGGGAGAGCAGGGATGGGCAGCTATCCCCTTCTGCTTTACCCATGTAAGTCCATGGGTTAGTTTGGTCCAGAATGGGAATATTAATGAAGTAAATATATTGCAAGGAAAACCTATTAGCTATCTTGTGGAACACCCCATCTCAGCAGTGTGCATTATTGGCCATGGGTATAGATATTGGCCATAAAGTACAGATTGGAGATACATGATGCATACCTGAACAGGCAATGCTCACCACTGAGCAGGACCTGAATCCTGGAAGGAAAAGGAAAAGAATGAAAAAATCTTCTGACAAGACTTGGATCATCCAAGAATTGGTAGTGAATAACCATCACAGGGGAACAAAATCGGCCAAACGTGCCCTCAATGGACTGGAAACCACCTTATAGTCATTGGAACTGCTGGTAACGATGAACCGAATGTCAAGACACACAGCAACATTTCGAACCCCTAGTGGTGGGAAATGATAAAAGATGGGAGGCTGCAGAACTAGAAACAGTTATGGGAGAGGTCATAGTATCAGAATGAGACAAACGAGTAACCAAAGACTAAAGGGTCGATTGTGAGCTCACACAGTCTACATGTGATTCCAAAAACTTTGGAAAATCTCCAAAAACAAAGCCAATGGAGAAAAGAAGCCATCCAGAAGTTACGAAGATAAGGGGAAAGTAGATGAACCTGTGAAAAGAAAGCATCCTTCCCAATAACATCCCAACAGCAACAAAGGTATAGAGCTGAGGACAACAACAGCACCAAGGAGGAGTAAGGAGGGAAAGTGTATCCCCAAAAAAACCCTCAAGGGAATGGTGGAGTGCTTCAGAAAGAAGGTGTATGTTGAACAAGTACTGTAGGAGAGTTGTAAGGGTAAGATGAAGGTGGGAAAAATGGACAGGGGAGAAATGAATAGAATTATCAGGGACAGCCCCCACATTGGCAAAAGTGACTCCAACTGCTGGGAGTCAAGAAAGGGTTGATCAACTTGCTGATAAGACAAAGCATAATGAAAAGAAGTCCATGGAGAACAAGGCAAGCTAACACCAGCCCTCAAATGAGAAACAAAATGCTCAGCATAAACCTGATGTTGGGGAAAGAAGGGAAAACAAAAGATTCAAATGACAGGTATCATGTAAAAAAGGAAAGAACAGTATCATATGAAAGTGGTTAAAACGGAACACACATGAGAAAGCATACTCAAAACGACAGATTTAGGCCTAGCAGATTTCATAGGAGATGCATGGGATGGCATGACATAGTTAGGAGGAGGAAAATGGCTGTTAAAATCCTCCTCCTCAAGAAGAAGTTCAGACAATGCAGGAGGAACCAGAATATTATTGGGAGTGAAAGGATGCCTCATATAACAATCAATTTCCCAACGAATGATCGCCAAAAAATCGTCAGTCGAGACCCCCAGACCTGAAGCCAGTGATGGCACTTAAAGGTAATAATATCAGAGTTGTAAAACACAATGAAACACAATAAACATGTGAAAAGAGCATAACTGAAAAATATCTGCACTCAATCACTGCCTAATGAGAAGTGATAGTTTGGTAGAATTGAATAGAGGGAGTCACATACATGATGATTTATATGACAGATGCTGTTGAACCACATTGATCTTGGGGTATGCAGGAGTTGAATGTTTGTGGCATGCGAAAAAATTTTTGAATATACAAAAAAGCACTGAACGAGAATAGCTATACATGTGAGAGAAGGTAATGTACTATATTGGAATTACTCATTATTATAATAAAGATATCACTGAGGCAAATTCTCATTTTTATAGTCTTCAGTCGTAATGTTTATAGTCATAAACTAAAAAATCAGACCCACTTGCCATGTCCACATCCTCTCTTTCACAAATTTGCCAATAATTCTTTCTGAAATTGTATACTATATCAATTATAACCAACAGTAAGGCAAAGTCTTAATCTATCAAATGATGTATAATGCTACCTTGTTTTCAGTTTTTGTCTTCAGATTGAAAGTTTATCTTATGGTGTTAAGACTGATCAGCAAAGAGAATTAACTTAAGCCTCTTTTGCCTTAGTTAGAAAGCCAGTTAAATTGTAATAGTAATAGGACATTGTTTGCTTTGTGTATGTTGTTATTCTGTGTTCATAGGTGAATTATTTAAGTAAATAAAAATTTGTGCACTAGTATCATCATTATAAAATAAAAGTAGGCTTAAATTTCATCAGCAATTGACAGCAAAAAACAAGAAGTCAAAGGTAAGTACTACATTTCTTGTTTTTCATGTATATTTTTATTTATAGTAAAAAATGTAACTAAAATTTTAAAATTAGAAAATTATTAGTTTAAATTATGCAAGATAATGAAAAAATAATAATAATAAAAATTCTTCATGAGATATGTTCATGAGCAGCTCATGTCATTCAATACAGTAACATGAGCTACACGTTCGCTGAGCGATTTGCAACTTGTGTGGTGAGATTATCAGATGAAGATGATTTAAAAGGCAATAAAATTAAATATAAACAGATGTAAACTGTTATGAGCTTTAAGCTATTTAGGATAAACAACTGTAGTTTTTCTGTTACAGTCTGCAGTCATTTTAGAAATAGAAAAAGGATAATTTAGATTTTGTGTGTGTGTGTGTTTACAAGTCAATCAAATCGACTAAGTCCCTACAGAGTTATGGTAGAGAAAATAACAGATAAAACATAAAGTTTTACCAAAAAATAATTTTTGGATATTTATTTGAGAGATTTTAGAGGTTACTCATATGAAACTTGAAAATTTTCAGATAAAGAAAAGTATTTTTAATCTTAACACTTTGCACTCAGAGCAGACAGCACTTCTGACTCCATATATTCATGGACAAATCTTTAGTAAGAATTCTTAATTAAAAAATTTGATTTTCTGTGTACAAAAGACTTGTAATGTTTACTGTAAGCTTGCGAAACTTTGTGAAGATATACAAAACATATTAAAAGTTATAGAAACTCTGATAATTGCTTTTATAGTTAAAAGGTCAGTCACAACAAATGACCCCATATGGAAATAGTTAAGTGGTATGATGAAAAATCCAGATCTGAACATCTTACCAAAGTTCTAGAGGCAGTGTAAACAACTGATTCTTTATCTAGAAGTGAATAGGATGGAACTTTGGCACCAAAACATTGATTTGGTTGGATTCCAGACTCTTGTTTCACACTCAAATTTAGTAACGTTTTTTCAGCTGACCTAAGAAAAGAAACAATGCTTCAAGTAAAAAAATACACTTTATAACAGATGAGCGAAAATATAAAAACAATAATATATTTATATTTATAAATATAAAACACCAAAATGCTGGGTATGTGTGGGAAAAGTATTCAAGACAACAAATGTGAAAGATGAACAAAAATTTCTTTTTGTGTGCAAACAAAAATACAAGGTAAAAAATACAAACACACACACACACATACATACATATATATATAATATAAACTATTAGAGGTTTTAAAGCAACCAAATCTTTTAGTGCTTTTTTTTCCCCAGAAAGATAAGTCTCTCCAAAAGTCAGGAATATTTCTCTTTAAGATAATATTTCATACTAATAGTAGTGTGACGAGAAAATGACCTTTATGGCCACTCTTAGCTCAATATTTATACATTTGGATGTCAAATAGACTAAATAGAACAATAGCATTTCGAAAATTAATTCTTATCATAGTTCTAAAAATAAATTTAAAAACTTCTCCAAACCAAATATGGGTTATGAAAACATATGAGCTTCTAGATCTTTGATACTAACAGCTTCTAATAGTATAATAGTGTTTCATTCACCTTCAAATGAACAAACCGGTTAACATCATACAAATGAAAATGGAAGCAGAAACACCACTGGCTTATGAATAAACCACAGAACAAAGGGGCCTCTCCTTCATAACTAGAACCTTCTGATGAAGGTATATTAAGATACTGAGCATAAACACATAACACAGAAGTACCACTTAAGCTACATTACAGGGACAGTGAAATAATCAAAACTTAGAGAAACTGGTCCACTTGATACAAAAAAATGTATTTTCGTGTACAATTTGCCAGCTTAGATAAGATATTCATTCCACAACAATTGTTATTCCAACACATACAAGTTAGCATTTTCCTACACTGAAAATGTATTTCCAACAGATACTTACCTCTACTCACAAAACAGCTTTACTCGACTAGCACTGCCCTCTATTAGCACAGATTTTCAATGCATGCCACTGACCTTCCACCTCCAGCTTCTGCATATTCACATGCAAATGATCATGCAGTAGCTCTCCAACATTAGGAGCACAATACCACTCCTATTGTAACCAACATCCTCTTTGTACCTGGACTTGTTAATCACTTGAGATTGGTCAGAAGACCTAAAACATATATCATCAGAAATTGAGAGGCTGGGTGGGAAATGTGAGAAGAGGTAACTATCTATCGGAAACACATTTTCAGTGTTGTATAATGCAAACTTCCGATACGATATCTTACCTCCTCTCACAAAATAGCTTGAATCCCTCATTAAATTGGTAGAGGACCAATAAAAAAATTTCCTCCTTTAGGAAGTGCCTAATGAGAGACCAGGAAATGTGGAACCAAACGAGAAAACATCACACCTCAGTGGGAGACCACACCACACCTGATCCAGGTATACTCTTCGCTCTTTTATGGCAGTGTCATAAACATAAAAGGAAGAAAAACATGAAGAAATTCCAGAAAATGTATGACCAATGAATGAGACTCCTGAGTGTCGAGTGGCTAGGGCACAACAGACCGTAGTGGTAGTTTGACTTCATCCAACACCAGACGATATCTGGAATGGTACACCATATCCACAGTAGGTAGAGGAACACCTACCTCTTCACCTCGAAATGGGAATTGGTAGGGAAGATAAGGTTCCATACCAAAATCTGTCTCCACTTGTGTGCATTTCCCATACAGCCAACACCGGATCCACCAGGAACCAACATCCAGCAGATGGTAGGAAGGGGGAAAGCCCCAGCAGGATGACATCTCCAGTCCAAAAACTTCACAGCAATGTGTGTGGTCCTTCCAGTCTACAGTAGGAGGAGGATATCTGCCCATACACAAGCAGAAAAATGTGCTGCATCTAGCTACAGTCAACACCAGATCCACTGAGAACTGACATCCAGCAGATGGTAGGAAGATGGAATGTAAACCCAGGTTACATCTCCAATCCAAAACTTGGCAGCAGTGGGCATGTGTCATCCAGTCTGTGGTAGAAGGAGGGAGGGATACCGGCCAGCACAAATGTGAGAACTTACTTAGCTGGACCATCTCCAACCAACACTGGACCCACCATGAATGAGCATCCAGAGGTTGATAGGGAGGAGGAATGTCTCAACCAGAGGGGCAAACTGCAATAACAGATATATATACATATATTCATGACATATCAAAGGGCTTCAACCAAAACCTGGCAGCATCTGAAATTGTACATGAGGTCTGCTATATAAATGGCATCATGCCATCTACATGATATTAGTCATGAGCAGGCCATCTCCAACCAAACCCAGTCTCACCAGGAAGGTACATCCAGAGGATGGTAGAAAGGAGGAATGCCATGGTAATAAAAAACAATTGATCAGTTATATAGATAGCAATAAAACATAGTGCTACAACCCAAACCTACCCCTTAATTGTTTAGTCTTGGATAACCATAAAACAGAGACACACAACCAACACATGGCAGCATCTGGAATTGCACATCAGGTTCATGGTAGAAGGGCTACAACATAAATGACATTGAGCATGGTTGTAGGATATACAGTGCAGATTTAAAAAAAAACAAGTACACCTGGTCAGACACCACTTACCACAGAGTAGGATCTACAATACACTAGCAAAAGGCCCCAGAAAATGTAAGAAAATTAAAAAAAAAGCAACCTTTCACAATACCAAAATGAAAAACTTTAAATAAAAAGTAAAGCCAGTAGTGTAACAGAAAACATCAACAAATCTGCAAGCAAAAACCAGCACCTCTGTATAATACTACTGCCAATGGAGAAGATTAATGAGTGCAGATGTGAAGAGGGAACTGGTTACAAGAGGAGTGGTGTCTCACTCCTATTGGTGGAAAGTTGCTGCATGATCATTGGTATGTGAATATGCAGAAGCGGGAGGTGGAAGGCTAGTGTAGTGTGTTGAAACTTTGCACCAATAGAGGGCAATGCTAGTCGAGTAAAGCTATTTTGTAAGAGGAAGTAAGGTATTGTATCAGAAATAATGTTTCAACAAGTACTGTGCTTTTCATATGCCTGCATAATAAAGTCTAGTTGTAAGTGAAATGTATCATTGGCAATGGATATCGATATTGCAGACATAGTGTTGTCCAATTACTATTATACACTTTTCTTCTTCATGAAAAGCCTTGAGCAATCAAATAAGGGATGTAGTGTTAAAAAATACAATGAGCCTAATACTACTGTCCCATGACAAATATAACTTTTTATTAGAAAATATAAATACAAAACATAATGGAACTGCAGAAAATTTGAAAACTTACAATGGTAGAGTTGAGCACACAGCTGTGTTTCTTTCATTCAGTGACAGAAGACCAGGAGTTCCTAGTTTTAGATGTGGTGTTACAGTGTTGTTCAGAGACCCTAAAGTCCAAGAAAAATGTCATTGAGACTGAAGGTAAACAAGTATCTTCAAATATGAGTAACAGAGATAGAATGTTCTGCCATAACAACTAACTTCAAATGAAATTCTTCCTCAAACAACTGATAATGTCTCTACTGTTGTAGTTATGTGCGAGTCTATTTATTTACTAGAGTAACATTACAAATTATTACGAATTATTAACAATTGTAATAATTATTACAAATTACAAACACATGGAAGAAAAGCACTGACACATAAATATACCTCAAATACAGTACACATGAAATGACATAGCTTTTAAAATCGAAATGGTATAAGATAAAGGATCACAACCTTGCAATTTAAGTTGTACTAACTCTTTGTTCCATAATTATAAAAACATTTTGCTGCATAGCATCCAACCATTACTTATGAAGCACATACCAATATCTTGACTACAGTCTTAAAATATTTTAAGAATATCTGAAGAAACTGACAGCCTCTATATTTAATCAAAACATATTTTTGAATTAGCATACATAAACAATTCAAATAAAATCTTCTATGACTTAGCATATATATATTTTAAAGTGTTTAGGTTTAACATGTATGAGTTTTAGCAGAGGCTTTGTAGCATCATCATTAAGCTGAATAAATTTAGGTTTCAAGATAAAATCAATATCCCCATTTTGGGTTTTATGATAAGATCAATATCCTGGATGGATTTAGGTTTCAAGATAAAATCAATATCCCCATTTTGGGTTTTATGATAAGATCAATATCCTGGATGGATTTAGGTTTCAAGATAAAATCAATATCCCCATTTTGGGTTTTATGATAAGATCAATATCCTGGATGGATTTAGGTTTCAAGATAAAATCAATATCCCCATTTTGGGTTTTATGATAAGATCAATATCCTGGATGGATTTAGGTTTCAAGATAAAATCAATATCCCCATTTTGGGTTTTATGATAAGATCAATATCCTGGATGGATTAGGTTTCAAGATAAAATCAATATCCCCATTTTGGGTTTTATGATAAGATCAATATCCTGGATTTAGGTTTTAAGATAACATCAATAAACTAGATTTAAGTTTTAAGATAAGATCGATATCCTGTAGTTAGGTTTTAAAATAACGTTGATATTTTTTTAACACGTTCCTCAGGAGCGAATGGGTATCTTTACACTACAATTTGTTGAATATTAAAAGTAATTTCAATCCAAAAACTTCCTAAGATGGTGATTTTGGACATATCTTTGCAAGACAACTTCGAGACAAGTTTTTCATTTGTCAATTGATAAAGTTTTAAGTGAAATAAAGCATCCTCAAGTCTCCATACTAGCTGGTACTAAGGTCTAAATACTGGGAGTAAATTCAGTATATATCAATAAAGCAATATTCTTAGCATCATTAATTAAGCAACTGACAACTTTTTATGCTTCTGCTATCACCTTTTTTATGTTTAGCTTTCAATTAAGATGCAAACGATATCACCTTTGATTTGGTAAAGAAGGTCGAAGCATCACATTAGTCAGCAGTGGTATGAACAGACAGGAACAATTTGAAACCAGCTACAGGCATAATATTGTACTCGACTTCCTGCACACTATCTACCAAGGTAGTTCTAAATGGTTCCTGAAACCTCTGCGAGCCATTTGGAGATTTCCATACTTCTTGTGCTTAGCTGTTAAGCTCATGATATTCTGAAGGATTTCAGTCACCTTACCACTTCAAATCACTCTTTGCAACCCCAACGTTAAAAAAGTGTGGGAAATACCTTCTTTTTAGCCAATAAAAATGTCCAAAAAAATTTTAGTTCAAATTTTTTAAAACCGGATTGGGTAGTTGTTGTTTTTCAACAAAAATGTCCCCCACTGGCTCGTGAGGGGCCTGTTAAATAAGCTCAGTAAATGGTGGTTATAGATAAAAAGTAAATATCTTCTTTTTCAGTTAAAAAGAAGACATTGAACTTCCTAATAAAATACCTTTTTTATCTTTAATAAAATGGGGTATCACCTGTTTGTGTAGTGGAAATCACAGATCTTTGCTCAGAAGACTGGATGTAAGGAACACTAATACTAGTGAATCCTAATGAATTATCAGTGGTAACAGTAAATATGTTTTTTTCTAAACTTGTACCACCAGTGTTAGATTGAAATTCTCCAGCTGAAGATGTTGAATCTCTGAGAGCAGATACTTGTGACAGTTCTCGTCCAGGTGTAGTGTCTGAAGTTTCCAAAATATGGCTTACCCTTATATTCAAATAAAGAAAGGAGAAAGTTAGATCATTACATGCAACATACAAACACATAAATGTAAATTAATGTTGAACTCAAGTCTAGTAGTCACAGTAATCATATTAACCCTGTACCAACAATCCAGAACAACAACAGATAAGTAAAAGGTTCAAGCCCTGTTTAGTCTTAAGTTTTCCACTTCTTTAGAAAGTATTACTAGTATGCCTGAAAATGTATCACCCTTACCATTTATATAGTTACTTTACAGGTGCTAATCTATATATCTAATATCTCGATATCTGTCTGTCATGCTCTTTATCTCCTGAACAGTTCATTGTAGAAAACAAATTATACATCAGAATGCTTCAAGTATACACTACAAAAATATTAATCATTTTTTGCAATTTTTCAAATTTCATATCAATATCAACATCAATCTGTCAGTCTTCGTATGTACTAAATAATCTATCTCAGAAAGAAAAACTTATTAAGAATAAAAATGTTTGTTTTTGTGAGGGAAGTTCATATAAAACTGGACTTCCTTCATCAACTGACAGAATGAAATATTTTGAAGGTAGATGCATGAATGGAAAAAGCACATAAGGAAAGGAATGTGCTTCAGTATATATTTGTTGTTGTTCAGTTGTTGTTGTTTTTCTCATGCATGATTTCATTGTATGATGAAGAATAAACTGATTTGAATTGAATTTAATATCTCCCATTTGACATTTTTTAAAAAAATGACAACTGTTAAAAAGTGCTCATTTTGGTAACAGTCTATTCTTGCACTCACTAAACTGACAAGGAACGGTGGCATCCATTGGTTAAAATCCCCATGGCTACTAAGCAAACCTGAGCACTCTATTGTGCTGTATGCACCCATTGAATCAAAACCCAAATATTTTTGCCAACGTTGCATTGCAGTCAGTCATCTTAGCTTGAAAACAAATGCAATGCAATTTTCCTTATTGGAATAACAAAAAATGGTTGTAAATGGTCCACTAGACAATCATATTGCATATATGCTCTGATTCAAGGAATTGGGTTGACTGCACATACTTATTCATCACATTTTTAGGAAAATTACCATTGAATTGTTTCAATAGGCATCTGCTAATATATTAAATACATTACACAAATTCAAAAGACAGAAACCTGATACAGGTTTTCTAAATAGTACTTAATGATATATATTTAATAAAAAACATTCTAAGCCTATTTATTCATAATCAACATACAGCACTAATATACAAACTTACCAAGGCTTGAAAGTTGAAGAGGTGGATGACAGTAGCTGAGAAAAGACCTGTGTGTTACGATGTTGTGATGTTGATGTCAGATTATTACAATGTTGTAGCTGACCTAATAACGAGCTGCTAGTATTGGATTGAGAGGTTGGTGAACTTAATGTGCTAGTGACCTGAGTATTCTGTGAGAAAACCAAAGAATTAAATGCAGATTAATTTAGTTGAAGAGTGGATGCAATAACAAGAACTGGGCACTGTAAAAGAGCAGCAATTAATTCCAGATAGTAAATTCAGAAGCCTATATGAAATCCATTTAAACTCATTAGTGAATTTAATAGAAGCTTTCTCAAGTATGTCATCTACAAGCTATACTGACTAAAGTAGGAACTAGACATATATCATCTACAAACTATACTGACTCAAGCAGAAACTATATGTATACCATCTACAAGCTATACCAGCTAAAGTAGGAACTAGACGTAATCATCTACAAGCTATACAGACTAAAGTAGGAACTAGACGCATATCATCTACAAGCTATACTGACTAAAGTAGGAACTAGATGTATGTCATCTACAATCTATACTGACTAAAGTAGGAACTAGACGTACGTCATCTACAAACTATACTGACTAAAGTAGGAACTAGACGTACGTCATCTACAAGCTA